CCTAAACCTAAGCTCAAGACCCTAAACCCTGAACCCTAACCCCTAAACCTAAGCTCAAGACCCTAAACCCTGAACCTAAACCCTGAACCCTAAACCCTAAACCGTGGTTCGCTCTTCCCCGGGCCGACGCAGGCTCTACAAGCGCCGAGATTACGATGGCGCCCTGACTTGGGGGAGGGGGGGGTTAGGGTTTAGGGTTTAGGGTTTAGGGTTTAGGGTTTAGGGTTTAGGTTAAGGGGCCTTAATAATCAGAATAGGCTTTGCGTTATGTTAAAACTATAAGTTATAGTAAGGAACCCCCAAAACCTATTCGTATTATTCAGGCGCCTCCACTAGCACATCGTCTGGCTTCGACCCCTGAAACTGACCCTAAGCCTTAACCCCTAAACCTTAAACCCTAAAGCCCTAAACCCTAAACCCTAAAACCCTAAACCCTAAACCCTAACACCCTAAACCCTAACACCCTAAACCCTTAAACCCTGTTGAACCCTTCAACCAACCCTCAACAGCAGGCCTAAACCCTTCTACCCTGAGCCCTAATTCCTTGGAATTTGTTTTTTTAGATCTTGCCTTCAGGGCAGTTCTTATGGGGGCTTGAGGGTTTAGGGGTTTAGGGGTTTAGGGGTTCAGGGGTTCAGGGTTTAGTGGTTAGGGTTTAGGACCCAAAAACCCTAAACCCTAAGTATAGGGTTTTAGTATTTAGGGTCCAGGGCTTGAGGGGTTTAAGGCTTAGAGCTGAGGGTTTAGGATGATGTGTGGGAGCTTCCAAAAGCGCTGGCTTCAATCCCTATGGCTAATCTGGCCTTCATAAGCGCTTATATAATAGTTTAGGGTTTAGGGTTTAGGTGAATATGGCCATATTAAGCTCGTAAAAGGCATTTGGTAGCCACAAGATGAACTTGACCTTGCTTGTTGTCAATTTGGCTGTCCCAGCTCATCGGGCATGTCGTGCGAAGAGGAAGCTGGAAGACTTGTGTGCATGCTGCCTACTTGTTGTATGTGTTGTATGATGACCTTATGGACCAGATGACCCTGAAAAGTAAGAGCCCTATACCCTTATAGTATGAATCTTTATATCGTTTATGAACTTGGTTCTCCAATACCCAACCTTGAACCCTAAACCCTAAACCCTAAACCCTAAACCCTAAACCCTAAACCCTATGGGTTAGTATATCTAGTAGCAACCTGACAGTTTACTAACCTTTTGTTTCCCTGGCTTCTAGGAGAAGTAAGTGAACCCTAGACCCCAGACTCTTTTAGGGTTCATGTCGTTTAGGGTTTAGGGTTTAGGGTTTCGGGTTTAGGGAAGGGTTGATTCAAGCCTTTAAGCCCTAGACCCTAAACCTGGACCAAGGCTTCTGTGCGCTACTGCATGTCTTCGCGGCTCGTGCCGTGTGGCCGGAAGAGATCGCAGCGAATGACTGGATGGGGAGACTCAGCCACAAAGCCTCGAGCCTGGTACCTTCAACACGCAATGAAGCCTAAAACGGTCTAGGGCCTAGGGGTTCATACACCATATATCGGTTCATACTATAAGGGTATAGGGCCTTGACTTTTCGGGGTCATCTTCAGGTAATAGCTCGTGCCCAGGTCTGAAGTTAATCAGGGAACGTCATCGAGCTCCTCTGCACTTAACAGACAAAACGGTGACGAAGCCCTAACGCCAGTAGAGGAACACGAACCAATTCTCCAAAAGACCGTGGTAACGCGGGGAACTGGCGGTTTGGGGCTTTGGGTTTAGGGGACCTGCATCCAGATTCGATGCTGCTGGGGATTTAGAACCCATGGGTTTGCTTTATCGTGCTCTGATGGGTTTTGGGTTAAGGGTTTAAGGTTTTCGGTTCAGGGTTTAGGGTTTAGGGAAACCATGTCCTAAGGAATGCCAGTGATGGCGATCTCCGGCCGCTTTGCTCGCCCATCTCGCCAGATGCAGGTCCCTGGTTTAGGGTTTGGGGTTAAGGACCTCGTGGGATTTCAGTGCGCGTGACGCTTGTCATCTATGCTTTGCCCGAGTTTTGCGATGGAGAAAAGGGGTTTAAAGGCACTCAAAGGGGGTCCCAGAAGCCGCAGAGCGATCCATGTGCACCAACATCTGCGTGCCAACATTCCGAACGGAAGACGTAGGACGACTGCAACCACTCCAGATCACTCCAGCATCTGCGGGGTCCAGAGCTGAGCTTATAGGATTTAGGGTTTCGTGAGGCCCCAACCTTTGCGAACCGGCAATGCCGCTTCTGCCACTGCGCCGCGTTTCGCTGGGCGGTCTCACTGTGCCCAGAGCGCGTGCCGGGACCCCGGGAGTCCACAAACGGGAGCTGCATAGAAGGGACTTATTAGTTCATTTGGGTGTACTTACTATACTCGTAGTAGCGATAGTCTAGTTATACACAGGCATATAGGGACTATGAGTATGAGTTGATAAGGTGAAACGATTGTCAGTTGCCCCCACTTCTGCACGAACCCTGCCCCTGAACCCCTACACCGCAGCAGCCCATCGCTGCCTTTATTGCGTTTAGGGTATTAGGGTTTAGGGTTTAGGGTTTAGGGTTTAGGGTTTAGGATTTCGGGTCAAGGGTTTAGGGTCTGCTGGCCTGCCAAGGACGAGGAGTACTTCCTCACACGACATCTGCGCAGTCGGCTTCATGGCGGCGTGGCTCAGAGCGCGGTGAAGGGTAAACCCTTCTCGTAGTCTGTGGCTGTTCTGATAGAGGGGCCTTGATAAGACTGAATTGGGTTCAGGGTGTAGTAACCCCAAACCCTAAACCCCTTTATGAACCCTAAACCCTTGTATGTTCCATATTGAAGCTCTTTGATGGCCCGACATGTAACGACTGAGACCGAAACTTCCAGTGGAAGTGCCTGGCACTCCCGATCAAGGACTTCTCCAAGCGCTGCTGGGCCGCAAGGCGCAAGAGAAATCCCGGGGCTTCCGTCGGATCTCCCAGACCGTGCCTTCTAATTTAAACCTACCTGGACCCCAAAAGTATGGGGAATAACAGCTCATACATGTTGGGCCGCTATTTTACCTACATTTTTTTGGGGGGGGGTTTTTGGATGAACCCTAAAGCCTAAACCCTACGTACTCTAAAGGTTCAACTCCCAGCTTCCAGGACAAGTGCAAGTCTCGCCTAGCTCTTTGCTGAACTTCTGAGTGGTTTAGGGTTTAGGGTTTAGGGTTTAGGGTTTAGGGGTTTAGGGTTTAGGGTTTAGGGTTTAGGGTTTAGGGTTCAGGGATCCTTACTGGAGAGAGGATGGTTCCTAGCGAGCTGATGCATTCAGGCCTGCACCGTTCAGGGTTGTGGAAGGAAGGTGGTCAACTTGCAGTGCATCATAACTATATTATAGTCATATAGGGTTTAGGGTTTAGTGTGTATATTTTACCGCCCCAACAGTCTATTCTCCTTTTTATTGCCCCGCTACTATACTTCCTAAGGCAACCACTTGATCATCGTCCACGGAGACCAGGTACGCTGGCTTGCAGAGCCTTCGGGTAGGGCATATCAAGGTACTAATTGACGGCTCAGGGTTTCAGAGTATTTGGGTTCAGGATGTCGGGAGTTTAGGGTTATAGATTGTAGGTTTTGGTTTTGTGTCGAGGGATTAAGGCGGCCAGCCCCATGGAATTGCACGAGGACCTCAAGTGCTCCGAAGCAACGCGCGAAGAACTGGAGCCTCGAGCCCTTAAACCCCGAAGCCCTAAACACCTAAACCCCGAAGCCCTAAACCCCTAAACCCCGAAGCCCTAAACCCTAAGCCCCTAAATTCCTGAGGTTTCATAGAGGAGCGAGGGCGGGGATGATCTCTGAACGGAGTCAGGAACCTTGGGGACCAAATGACCCCCAAAAGTCAGGGCTCCCTCTCTCTCTCTCTCCCTCCCTCTCCCTCTCCCCCTATGGGTTTAGGGTTTAGGGTTTAGGGTTTAGGGTTATAAATTAAACCCTAAGTTTTCGTTCTCCTTGGATACTGGACCACTGAGACTCCTTGGTGTGCCGACCAGTCCGCGTTCTGTATGCTTGAGTTTCGAATTCCATTCCAAGCCTCCCGAGATTCGAAACGGCTGACACAAAAAACCCTCTAGAAACCCAGCGAAACTTTAGAGTGTTTTAGGCCTATGGGTTTGAGGGTAAAGTTTATGGAGTTGGGGTTAAGGGGTTTAGGGTTTAGGGAATTAGGGGTTTACAGATTGAGGGTCTTGTACTGTATTTAGGGTTCAGTGGATAAGCTTTGAGACGGCCTATGTAAAGAATCCGCTAAACCTGACATCGCGTATCTACTCTGTCCTTTCGATTTAGGGCTTAGGGTTCAAACTTTCCTTGGGTGCCTTTTCTGTACTGCCAGACATGTGTTTGGTCTAGCCCTGAACCCTGAACCTTTCAATTGCCCATAGGCCCTAAAGTAGTTCCTTTGTGGGGTTCATATATAGAATCCTATAAGGTAATCCCAAAAAGGAACTAGTATGGGGCCTATGGGTAAAGCCTAGACTGCTAAGCCCCCGTGCCGTCGGCCCAGACTTTCCCGCAGCTTGCTGCACGACATTTGCTGGCCTTGGCGACACTTAGCTTTGATTCCGGGTGGCGGGGGTCAGTAGGGCGTAGTTTGGGTTTTCAGGTTTCAGGGTTTCGGGGTGTCGGGGTATCGGGATTTGATTTTGAGGGCACATGGTGTTTCGGCATTCGCGTTTTCGGGCCTTCGGTTTGGGACTTGCTCGGTTTCTGTCGCAGTTTCACCATGTGGGTAGTTTTCTAATTCGGGTCCCTTTTGGTGTCCTGTTTATCAGGGTGCCGTACTATATTGGGGACCCAAAAAGGGAGCCTAATTTAGAGAACTACCCATGTAGTACCCTTATCCCTAAACCCTAAACCCTAAACCCCTGTAGATCCCTTTAAGGAGTTCCTTTAAAGGGACCCTAGCTTCTTCCGACATGTCTGTGGCCAAGGCTCCATTTGTCCGTGCAGCCGTCGCCGTTGCTGTGGTCAGTTGCCTGACCGCAGCTTAGGGTTTAGGGTTTAGGGTTTAGGACCCTAAACTCCTAAACCCTAAACCCCTAAACCCTTAAATCCTATACCCTAAACCCCTAAACCCTTAAATCCTATACCCTAAAGCCCTGAAGCCCTAAGCTCCTAAACTGAAACCCCAGACCCCTAAACCAGCAAGCCCCCAAACCCTAAGCCGTAATATTACCATTCTGGCCAGTCTGACTTTGGCGGATTCAGACCTCGTCCCACGGTCTGCTTTGGGGTTTAGGCTTTGAGGTGTTTAGGGTCTTTGGGGTTAAGGGTTTAGGGCTTTAGGGCTTTAGGGTTTAGGGTTCGGGTTAAGGGTCTGCTTATAGGGTTTCGTGGGCTTAGTGTTGTCTTGTGCTCTTGAGCTCTCTTCGGAATTGTTTGGACGCATCTGAGAGAAACTTCTGGAGGCCGGGCCTCATGGGGCTACATGCATTGGAAGTGGATCCGGTATAGTGGTTTAGGGTTTAGGGGTTTAGGGGTTTAGGGTTCAGGGCTTAGGGTTTGGGGTTTAGGGTGTAGGCTGCTGCTGCTACATCCAACATTCGAGAGGCAAGTAGGTACAATTAGTAACAATATTCCTTACTTTGTCGCAGAGAATCCTTATGCTAGGTTCCTGAGTAGTACCCTTTGCCATTAGGGTTTAACTATGAACACCAAATAGCAGGAAAAAGTGTAGCCTTCTCGTCAAGGGGCTACGAACCCAGTCTGATTATCAAGCCCCCGATATTCGGCCCTAAACCCTAAACCCTAAACCCCTAAAACCTAAACCCCAAACCCTAAACCCATAAACCCTAAGCCCTAAACCCCTGAACGCCTAAACCCCTAAACCCTAAA